GAAAGAGGAGTTGTGGTCCTTTGATTTGTGATAATCTGAGAGGAAAATTCAAGCTGGGGAATCTTTTTGTTTGTTGGGGAAATAAACCTTATCGTCAATCGGCTGGAGAGGCATTTTCTTTTGGTATAACTCCTCGAGGATTCTTCTTGAGACCAAATCAGCTGGGGAGAATGTTTTTTTCCAGAGATTGAAACTCTGGCTGGGAGTTGCCCTATGAAAAGGACTTTGTGGGGTATTTGTCACTGCCCCTAGTAGAAAGTGTTTGTAGTATTGCTAAGAAATGTTTTCTTGACTATATACAACCCTTTGTTAGAGTTCATATTCAATGCCCCAAGTGACTCGGATGCAAATCTATCCCTGGTTATTCAACACTTCTTGAGAGATTTCTTGGAATCTTGACTTGACTGCCCCAGACGAGTTGGACAGTGACATTTCATGCCCCCTTGCTTATAGAAGATTTGTCATTTGAAGTGTCATCCTATTTGAAATGATTTTGTTCATTGGAAATTCCGTTCAACGGATGGTCGTTGCGTGGATCTCTCTGTTGTCAAACAAATAGCTATATGCAAACAGCGATATTCAAAGAATGCAAAGTTTATGTTTGTCTTGAAGTTTTAAAAATGTGTTTTAGCATATAAAAGAATTTTTGTAAGAATGTGAATTCAACTCAGGATTTAGAGTAAAGCCTTACAGGAGTCGGGATACCTTTTGTAACAGTATGCTTTCGAACTAACCCATGCTTCAATTAGGACTTTTGAAGGGTTGTAACGTGGCTTGATTCACGGTTTAAGAAACAAAGGATAAGACTCAAAGTGTATTTGTATCCACCCATTCTTCGTGGTGTCCTTCAGTCATAAACTAAGTTAATTGTATGTTTGAACTCCAATTGAGTCTGGAATGACGTTTTGGTGATGGTTCAGACAAGTTAAGTTTGTTGGAAGGCAGTTATTTTTTTCCATATCTTCCATGTTGTTGAGGATTTGTAGTGACCTCTTTTTTATTTATTATCCTTGATTTTGCCTGACTGTTCTTGTTTTTGAGATTACAAGCAGCGGGATGCCCCAGTTTTTCTTAAGTCTCCTTCGTAGGTTTTGACTTAGTGGGCCTTTTTTTGGGGGGAATAATGACAGCCTAGCTTATGGGATGAACCATTACCGTCTTTTGATTCCAGAGGAATGTTTTTGATGTCATTCGTTGTATACAAAGTGAAAGTTTGCGACTGAACGCGCGTTTGAATTAACTGAGAAACTACCCTGCCCCAGGTTTTGATTAAAGGTTTCAATTTGTGTAAAAAAAAGGGAAACTCCTACTTCTTTGGCTCAAATGGTTTGACTAGGGATTATCCTCCTTATAACTTCAGTGTTTAGGAATTGAAACAAACGTTTGTACATCATCAGCAAGGTCTGTTCAAAAGCATATTGTATGAGATTATGGCATTGTTTTTGTTATCCTCCCTCTAAAGGCTTGCAACAAGAGTTGAGTATCATAAAGGGAGTAAAAAACACAGTTTAGATAGAGTGAAAATGAATGGATTAATTCAAGACAAACCTATGTGATGCATTAATGAAACAAAGTTTGACATTAATAGATAAGTGTTTGAACAACAAAAGAGATTACAATTTAAAATTCCAAATGAACAAGACGCTCTCAATGATTTTGCATGGGAGTGGTGATCATGTTAGGAGTCTCTGGAGGGTCGAACTCGATCTCCTTGGCGTCAATCAAGTCTTATATCTTGTTCTTCAAAGTCCAACAGTTGTCGGTGTCGTGTCCAGGACTATCAGAATGGTAGGCATATCTTACATTTGGATTGTACTTAGGAGAGGAGGTATCAGGGTTTTGAGGAGGATCCTTTAGTGTGATCAGTTTCACCTTCAACAAATGTTGTAACGCTTGAGACAATGGCATGTTGATGTTAGCGTACTGCCTTTCTTGGTATTTTATCCTACGCCTATTGCCCTGTCTTTGTTGAACATGTGTAGGATTAGAGATCAGGATTGCCCCCACGTGTTGATCTTGGTTGCTCTTGTTATGACCCTTTTGGCCGTACACAGTATTGGACTCTTTCTTCCTATTAAAAGGTTGTTTCCCTGAACTTAAAGATGCAACCCGTTGGATTTTACCACTCTTAATGCCAGCCTCTACTCTTTCGCCTGTCAGGATTAGCTCGGTGAATCTGGCCGAGGAGCTTCCGATTAGGTGATTGAAGAAAGGTCTCGTCAAAGTTCCCATAAAGATGTCAATTAATTTTCTGCCAGTTAAGGGTGATTGCACCCTGCCCGCCAGGTCTCTCCACTTTTGGGCGTATTCTTTGAAGCCCTTGTTGGAATGCATGGTCATACTCTGCAATTGCACACAAGTTGGTGCAAGATCAGCATTGTATTGGTACTGCTTGTAGAAAGCAGCAACCAAGTCCTCCCAGGTACGAATGTTGGTTCTTTCTAACTGATAGAACCACTCCAGTTGAATGCCAGCCAAACTTTATTGGAAGAAATGAACCCATAGCTTTCGGTCAGCAATGTGAGGCTGAATCTTGCGGACATAAGATCTCAGATGCATCTTAGGAGAAGAGACCCCATCATACTTGGCAAAAGTAGGGATTTTAAACTTTGGTGGGATGACCATTCCGGAAACCAACCCTAACTCTTTAAAGTCCAAGCCAGGTATCTGCTAAATCTCCATAGCATTGAGGCGATCCTCCAACTATTTGTATTTATCATCAGCGGGAGGATATTGTTACTCAGAGAAGTCAGCTTCATCTTCATCAGTCCCCGAGCTGTTATCTCCTTCTTTTGTCTGATTGTCCCCCTCGGTTGACGGGGTTGAGAGATCTAGAGCTCCCTTTACTGTTCCTCTAAGTCTTCTTCCCAAATTCAGGACACCTACTGACTTCTTTGACTTTTTCTTCTTGTCCTTGAGGAGATGAGTCTTCAGGTCCTCTTACCCCTTAGTCATAGCCAAGAACATTTGTTGGAATTGGTCATTTTGTGCTTGGAGATCCTTCACCATCTGTTCCATATCCATCTTACTGAAATAAACAGTAGGGAGATAAGGAGACCTGTATGGGAAAAGCCTGTCATGATATGATGCATGTGGATGCAATGTTTTCAAGGATCTCGCGGGGTAAACACAAGAAAATGTTAGAAGTTACTTACAGCTTTGATTGGAGAACTTTGTATCGGTGGATATCTTTTCACGAGAATTAAGCTTACCATGTCAAGTGGGTCGTAGCCCCTGACTCAAGTTTGTTGTACTTTGGTATTTTGACAATGTTTGGTTAGAGAAAAATAAATTCTCTTGCCCCTTGATAGACGTCTGGTTCAATGTGACCCTGCATCATAGGCCCTTGAGATCCTTGAAATGGTTATTGAAAATGCTATGGTATGGTGTTATGATATTATGTACAAGTGTTATGTACAAATAGTCATATACACACAAAGCAGACAAGTCCATAGGTTTAGGCTTGCATGGAGTTTATAGGTAAGTACCCTCTTAAAGTTTAGTTGGCTCAACATGTCCTAGTAATAGTACACGGGTTCTAGGGGATCTCAATATCACTGATCTTTCTTCATCGGGCATTGTTTCAGCGCAAGCCTCTTTAATGGCGACCGAAATATCCCGAAAGTTCGATCTCAATGAGCGTAGCATCGAGTATCAACCAACTTCGGACTGCACCAAAGTCAGTAGGGGTGTTCAGATCCAAACCAATCCAATAAAAAACCGCAAATCGAATCTAACCAAACCGAAAACCGCAAAAACCGCATTTGGTTCGGATGCGTTCGGACCAATTTTTGACAGAACCGCGCGGTTCGGTTCGGTTTGCGGTTTTCTTTTGTAAACCGATCTGATCCGAACCAAACTGCGATATTTACAGACTTGTTTATTAATTACTAAATAGGCCCAATTCTTAACTGGCCCAAATCCAATATACATGTTTGATGTTTCACCTGTTTGCTTGCTAGGGTACACCGCCGCCGATACAAGAAAGTGGAAACAAGCAAGCGAGTGAAGAACGGCGGACATCACGGTCACACCACCTTGTTGAACATGCACAACACCACGTTGTTGAACGAAGAACGCCAGACAACACACCACCTTGTTGAACACGCACACTCACACAACAACAACACCTTGTTGATCGAAGAACAGCAGACACTGATCGAAGTTAAAGAACATCAGCAAATAGCGAAACACAAATTGAATTCGAAGAACATTATCAAAATCTAAAAATCACTCAGGTAACATTATTGTTCATCATGTTTAAGCTATGTTCTATTTTCTCTTTTTAGTAGTTTCTTTTCTCGATAAACCACTGATTTGGTATTTTCTCTTTTTGGTTACTGAAATCTGAAAATCAGTTTGGTTTGGTTACTGATCATAATGTTTATTTTGTTCATCATGTTCATCCTGCTTAAGCTGAAATTGTTGTTTTGCAAATATCACCAATTCATTCTGAAAATCAGTAATGTAATGTAATATGTAATTTGTTCGAAATCAGTAATGTTCATGTTCATGTTCTACTTGCTGGCTCTTTGATCATTGATACTCATGTTGTTAAGGTATAAAATGTGTAACATGATAGGATTTTACCAGAATGAATAAATCAGACATGATAGGATTTGTTAATGTGCCATTCAGCTCAAACCTCAAGATGTACACATTGCAGTTTTCAACTGCTGCTCTTAACAGTTAACATTGAGAAATCATCTCACATATTAGTGTATCCTTTAGAGCATGTAAGAACTAGATCAAATGTGTAACATGATAGGATTTGACCAGAATGAATAAATCATACAAGGAAGTCAAACATCAAAACAAATATGTTAGTTAACTTTGCAAGAAAGGTCGATGAACTCTATAATTTGATTGGCTGAACTCTAACAAAAAAAGAGTACATACAATCGTTGAAAAGGATAATGTGAGTTTGCCATACTCATAAAGGTTTATGTTTTATTTTCATTTCCTTTTCTCTAATATATTTTCTCCTCTATTTCTTAGATATGACTAATAAAGAAGTCAATTATGTTGCTGGCTCTGATGCTTCCTTTTCCATGGCCGAAAATCAGGTAATGATAAATGAGTGTATTTGATAAATGTTAAGTTCGTGATTGGAACTTATTTAATGGCTATAATAAAGTAGTTATATTTACAGTGTATGTGTTATGTATTTTCAGTCTCAAAATAGTCCACCGACGCCTACAACAAACCAACCACAAACTATTGATTTGGACAAACAAGAAGGCGACAATGTTCAACACAAAAAGAAAAGGAAAGTTGGAGAAGCGGATGAGTCTAAAGCTGATGATTCTAATGCTGGAGATTCAGGTAAACAAAAACCTTGTAGGCCTAAATCTTGGGTTTGGGATCATTTTACAAGAGATGAATCAGGTACTCGGGCTAAATGTAATTGGTGCATGAAATCTTATGCGGATGATTCACATAAGAATGGAACCTCAAATTTAAATAACCATTTGATGCATCAATGTAAAAAAATTCCCAAACATGTTCTTGATCCTAGTCAAACCACTCTTAGCCTTCAAGAAGGCTCTAAAGTAAATATTAATGCACTTGTTGGTATCCATTTCGATATTGAATTGTGTAGACAAGCTTTAGCTAGAATTATAATTGTGGATGAATTGCCTTTTTCTTTTGTTGAGAACGAAGGATTCCGTCATTTTATGAGTGTTACACAACCTAGGTTCCCACTTCCAGGAAGGATTTCAATTGCTAGGGATTGTTTGAGTCTTTACATGAGTGAGAAACATAAGTTAAGAAGCATGTTTACAAAAACAAATCAAAGTGTTTGTCTAACAACTGATGCTTGGACTTCTGTGCAAAATATTAATTATATGGTTCTTACTGCGCATTACATTGATCAAGATTGGAAGTTGCATAAAAGGATTCTCAACTTTTGTCCAATAACTTCTCATAAAGTGGAGATAATTGGGAAAAAGATTGAAAAGTGTTTAGAGGGTTAGATGATAGATAAGGTTTTCACCATCATAGTTGATAATGCTTCTTCAAACGATGTTTCTATCGCTTACCTAAAAAATAGAATGGAGGATTGGAATTCACATCCATTAAAAGGGGAGCATTTACATATTAGATATTGTGCTCACATTCTTAACCTTGTTGTCAATGATGGGTTGAAGTTGAAGCACATGCATTCTTCACTTTCCAAAATTAGGAGAGCGGTTTGGTATGTTCGTCAGTCACCTGGTCGTTTAGATAGGTTTAGGACATGTATTAAAGAAGTTAGGATACAAGACAAGGCTATTGTGAAGTATGATTGTCCCACTAGGTGGGACTCCACATACCTTATGCTTGAAAGTGCATTGAAGTTTCAAAAAGCCTTTAAGAGATTAGGTGAGAAATGTGTTGAGTATGCGATGTTGGAAGGTGGTGTCCCAAATAATGAGGATTGGGATAATGCCAAGTGTTTTGTGAAATTCTTAAAGTTGTTTTTTGAAATCACTACAAAGGTGTCAGATTCTACTTATGTAACATCTTCTACTTATTTCATGGAACATTGTACGATATTGGGGGCATTAAAGACTTGGAAGGAATGTCATAAAGATGACCCATTACTTACAAATATGGCTAATGCTATGGATGATAAATATAGTAATTATTGGGGAGAAGTCAAAAAGATGAATATACTAGTCTTTATTTCTCTAATTTATGATCCTCGACGTAAGTTCCAATTTATTAGGTGGGGATTGGATAAGTTTTATAAGAAGGAAGTTGCTGATTTTTTGTGTGATAAGGTGAAACAAACATTAAACAAAATGTTTGAAAGTTATAGTATTTTCTTAAGTAAAGACCAAGCCGAAAGTGTTGCAAAAGAAATAGGGCTATCGGAAGTTGTTACATCTTCTGATCATATGGATGATAAATTTGAGAAGGACATGGACCAAGATTCAAATTTAAATAAAAATGAAGTGGATTTGTATCTCATAGAGACGTGGGAGAAGAAAAGTCCGGATTTTGACATCTTGAATTGGTGGAAGGTAAATTCCACCAACTACTCTACTCTTGGTTTAATAGCTAGAGATATCTTGGTTATGCCAATATCCAATGTTGCTTCAGAGTCAGCTTTTAGCACAGGGGATAGAGTTCTTAGTTGTTATAGGAGCTCTCTTATACCCCATATCGTTGAAGCTTTAATATGTGCACAAAATTGGTTAAGATCCTCTCCTTTGAAAGTGGATATTGAAGAGCACTTGGAAGACTTGGAGAAACACGAACAAGGTATATGTTGTAAAATTTATTTATGAATATATTTTATTTAATTGTTTGTTTTGTCTAACATATTGTAATATATTTTATTATTTTTAGAAATGGCTCCAATCCCACAAGTAAATGAGGGACTTTCTGATATTGAATCTGATTAGAGACTTGCTTGAAAAATGGTATGTTTTATTTGGAGTAGATTCTTTTTGTTTTTGTTTTGTCTATAATTGGTTTTTGTTTATAGTGTTATATGGCATGGTTTTACTTTTTGTAGCAGGTTTTGGAATCCAATATTTATAATTATTTACAACTTGATTTGTGTTTTAAAGGTTATTGCTTGAAGGTGATTTACAACTTAGCAACTCAATCCAAGAAGCAAGAAGAAACAAAGTAAGAAACATATTATTAGTGCTTTTGATGACTTTAAAGTCCTTCGTTTGAATACTATTTTGATGGTTAATTTATGTATTGAAATGAATACTACTTTGATGGTTAATTTGATGCTTTTGATTATTAGTGATTGAATACTACTTTGATGGTTAATTTATGTATTAAATACTATTTTCATGTCAACTATTTTGAATATTGTATTTGATTGCATACTATTTTAATTATTGTCAAATTGTGTGCAAGAAGAAAAAACTCACATTAGTGTCAAATTGTGAGAATATATGAAGGTTAATTGTAACAACAATAGTGTTACCGCATGTGAGTAATTATGTGTTATGCATTTATACATTTAACAAAACCGAACCAATCCAAACCACATTGGTTTGGTTTGGTCTGGTTTGGATTTTTTTTCTCAATGAACCGAACCAAACCGAACCGCCTGTTTTTTTCTCTTGCGGTTCGGATGAATTTTTTCTTCAAAAAACCGCCCAAACCGCACCGCGAACACCCCTAAAAGTCGGTTGTCTCACTACTTCCTAATGGCCAAGTTGTTCAATTAAGGTTCTAAGGTCAGTTAGTACTTCATGACACCACACAGCGGCCCCGTATTCTCCTTGACTAATCAAGGGCTACCAGTACCAACAAATGTGTCACACTAACATAGTCATTGCTTCAACCATATCGATATACCCCGCACATTTTCCACAATCTATTGCTACTTACCTAAAAGGTGCCCCAGATCCGGATAGAGGATCAAAACAAGCCCAAACAAGGAACCATAATGTAAAGCAAGCAAATCAAACAAGGAAAGCAAGTAAAGGTGATATAGCCCTAAGGTAACCCCACTTTTAAGTATAGTCCCCAGAAGAGTCTCCACCGTGGGAGAACTGACTTGGGTGTTTTGTGTTTGTTCGTAATTATTGCGGATAGCAAGAGTTGCCACCGACTTTTATTTTATCCAATAAGGAAAGGTTGAAAAGAACAAGAAAGACCTTTTGAGATTATTTCTTGAGTTCGGGGGGTAGGTTATGAAAAGGAAAGGTATTAGCACCCTTTCCATCCATAGTTATCTACGGGCTCTTAGTTGCTTGATAGATCACTTGCTTTTGTTTGAAAATGTACTTGTGGTGTGTGTAACGCCCGTAACTTAATTAATTATTTAATTAAATTATTTTTGGAATATGTGTGAAGTTGATGTGTTGTGATTAGTTTGATTTAATTATTTTATTAAGTGGTGAAATAATATTAGAAGAATGATAATATTATTTGATGTGGGCTTGTTTTAAAGGATAGAAGTAGTAATAACGGGGGTGTGGTAGTCTTAAGCCCATTAAGGTATTTTGAGAATTATAGGGTTATTTTATTATTGTTAGAAGTAATAGAAAAGAAGAAGCAGTAAGAGAGAAAGAAAATAAGGGTTGGAAGAAGAGAACGTGAAAGTTGTTAGAAAGGAGGAAAAGAGGCAGAACAGAAATGAACCGGAAAAGTTGTAGAGCAACCTTCAATCCAAGGTAAGGGTGGGGTTCTGACTCTATAATAGGGTTTATGATAATTGGTATTTGGGGTTAGAGGTGAAAGATTATTTGGTTTATAATTGAATTATATATGTTGTTGTATGATGAGAATCGATGAATTATGGATGAATAATGATGCCCTAATTTTGTATATGTGATGTAGAATTGAAGGGTGATTGTAATTGATGATTATCTTTGATTAGAGGATGTTTTTAGGACCTAAAGTATGGAACCCGTAGTGAAAACGCAGTGAAATAGCAAAAATTATTCATGACAGAGCAGTATGTGTCGATCCCAAACGTTATGTGTCGATACAAGAAGGCCTTTAGACTGAGGATGAGTCGATACGAAGGAGTCCTGCGTCAACACATGAGGGCTTTTAGACTCAGGATGAGTCGATATGTAGGAGCATGTGTCTATACATGCAGTGTTGCAGACTTAGTATGAGTCGATACGAAGAGAGTATGCATCGACTCATGCAGCGTGTTAAACCCAGTAAGCGTCGACCCAAGACGTTATGCGTCGATCCATGTTGTCTGGTTTTTGGCATAATCATTTTGAAAAGCCTGTGACTTGAGTTTTCGGACTCCGTTTGAGGTGTCGTTCAAAGCGTTGAATAGCCAACGCGATGAACTTCATTCTTAAGGATCAAAATGAAGAATAGGAAGGATAATCCTAGTATCCAAATTAGGACTAGAATTAGTTCCCGCATTAATCGCTATGTTAATTTTTGTGAAGAATGATGAAGATGAGATAATTATAGATTACTGTTTGGTTTGTAACAGCATGATTAATGATGATACTAGTGTAGTATTACATAATAGTAATATGTAGAGGTTTGGTGATTTAGAAGTAAGCGTTAGATGATTAATTAATTATAGGCAATATCATGTTGTAGGCCTATGGCCAACGTTGCGAGATTGACGAATTGTTGTTGTATTGTTGTTGTGGCTGAGTTACTGTGTATTATGATGATATATGATGTTTGATAAATTATGATGATATGTGATGTTGATGAAATATGTTGAGATGCCTCTAATAATTGGCGGCTATTAAGATGTAGGCTTATGGCCAATGATGATGTTGTGTTGAGATATTGTTGATTTTGGTGTTGTCATTACATTCATGATTGTGTCGCATACATTGCATTTCAAAATGGAGCTTATCTCATTAAGATGGCTTGTATTAGAGAATATTAAGATGAAGGCTTATGCCTTGTTGATGCCTCTATTTATTGGCATATTTTTAAGATGGGAGTTTTGCTCCAATGGTACCACATGCATTTTCATAGTATTGAGTCGCATCATATGATTGCATAAAGAAGTTGTGTATTGATGTTGTGAATGTGTATTATTATTGCGATTATTGTCGTCCATAAGATGAGAAGTGGTGATGTTATGTGATCTAATTTAATATATTAATTATCATATATTTTATTATATTGTTAGATATCTCACTCCTTCTGTTTGAATGTTACCCTTACGTTGGTAACGTGCAGGTAATCGAGAGTGAAGGTTGTATACCTTCAGTAGTTCGAGTCGGTGTCATTGCTCTGATATGTAACACTCGGGGGATGAATGCTTGGTACTTTTAATTTGTTGATTATTTCAGTTGTTGAACTTTAATTTGATTGTTATTAAGTATGCGTTGTTTTGAAGTTACTGTAACGATGGATAAAGATATCACTAAGAATTCCACTGCGTAGATGTTTAAATTATTGAATTAAGAGATTAAAGTATTATGGTGATGGTTCATCCGAAGTTTAAAGTGTTATGTATCCATGTTAAATGCAATGTGTTTTTAAAGATGAATTTGTTGCATCCTGGTTCGTTTTCATGAAT